CTTCCTTAATTTCATCCCTGCCCATATTTGCCTGTGAGCTGCTTTCCTGTTTGCCCGTTTCTTTATACGTTCCCCCCGATTTGGTTCCTGAATCTGTTACCCCTCTCTGCTCCCTTTGTTCCCAAACTCGTCCTGGTCTGCCCTGTTTTTGTGAGCTTCCCTCAATTTGTAGGGTAGTGTATTTTTTTTTATTTATTTCACTTAATAGCGCCGTCAATTTATGCAGCGTTTTTTAATATATATTGTAATTCACATCACCCCAACCTCAAGGGGCGACAATCTAAGGTCCCTAATTTACATTCAAAAATACACATATAGGGACAATTTAGCAGGAGCCAATTAACCCCCCAGCATGTCTTTGGAAAACCCACCAAAGGCAAGGAGAACATGCAAACTCCAGCAGTGGTGCCGTGGCTGGGATTTGAACCAATGACCCTAGTAACTCTATGCCAGTGGAAGTTGCTAAACCATTTAGCCACTGTGCTCCCATTTATAGTAGGGTTTTTGCTTCACTGTCATACTTATTTTTCAATTTTTTCCCTTTCTTGCGGTGGGTCTGGGGGGGGTGTGGGTGGTTGGGGTTGATATAGTCTACTTGGTCCCTGATTCCCCACTTTCTGGGGGGGGGGGTACGTGGGTTTGGTCATGGTCTATCCTCTGCCCGTCACTGGGTATCCTGCAATCAGTATGGGTGGGGTACGGGGGGTGGGTATATGGCAGGTTTCTTGACCAATGGTACCTGAATGGTGGGGCTGTATATGATACAACTCCTGAACCAGTGGGTTCTGACAACTGTAACTGGGTGTGTTGGGATGGTAATGGGGGGATACTCGTGACCACTGCAACGGGGTTCTGGGGCTGGTGGGGGGACATAGGGGGTGGTGATGTGGTCAGTTGGTGTGGGGTTCGGTCCAGGCGACCCTTGGTGGGAGGAGGGGCACCTGGGGGGGGCTGGTTGGGGGGGGGGGGACTCTCCCCTCCTGGGAAGTTTGAAAGAGGTGTGTCCAGACAAGCTGGAGATAGCTCTGGTTGCCCCCCTCCCCCCAGTTTGTAGGTTGACAGTTGGCGTGTCTGCATCAGGGTTGTTAAAGGGGCTGATGCCAGAACCTATCCTGAGGTAGAATTTGGGTGCTGGTGTGGGCGGGTGGGGGGGGGGGGCGGATGGTGGGGGCGGCGGTGGGGGGGTGGTCGTGGGGTGGCTCCGGTGTGATGGGTGGGGGCTGCCATTGGACCACCCCTTCTCCCAGAGCTGGTGAAACTGGTGTGATGGACAAACCAGAGATCTGGGAGTACATGCTGGGGGGTGTCTCCCTGCTGGGACCTTGAACTGGGTTGGGTGGGTGTACCTGGGGGGTAGGCCCCCCCGTGGGATTACTGGCTAGGGGGGCTGGGGGGGACCAAAACTCCCTGTTGGGTGTAAGGGCTACAGAGACTGTCCCTTGGGGGGGGGGCGGGGTTGGACGGGGGGTTAGGGGGGGGTGGGCTATCCTTGGTGGGGCTTTACATGGGCGTATTCCTCCCCCTCCCTGCAAACCCCCCTAGGGGTGACTGTGGATCTGTGTGCCTCTATAAAAGCGGGGGTGGGTTTGCCATCTACTCTGTGTGCTAGGCTGCATATGACATAACTCTGATCACTGCACTCTGTATGCTGGGCTGCATATGACATAACCATGACCACTGCACTCTGTATGCTGGGCTGTACATGACATAACCCTGATCACTGCACTCTGTACGCTGGGCTACATATGATGACATATAACCCTGATCACTGCACTCTGTACGCTGGGCTACATATGACATGACCCTGATCGCTGCACCCTGTACCTAGGCTATATGGGACATGTTCCTGACCCCTGCACTCTGTACCCTAGGCTATATGGGACATGTTCCTGACCCCTGCACTCTGTACCCTAGGCTACATATGGCATAACCCTGATCCCTGCACTCTGTACCCTAGGCTATATGGGACATGTTCCTGACCTTTGTACTATGGGGCTTTACCGCATAGTATTTTATTTGTTGGGGTCATTTATTAGAACATGTTGACAAGTGTGACCAGCATTTGCCCAGCTGTGATACATTCCGGCCATAATTTGGTTAAAAACCATGATTTCCTATGATCACTGGCTCCATCTAGTGGTCATAATTAGGTATTATTCCTGAAATATCTCCATCAGTAAAAAGATATGGCATTATGGTCACTAGATGGGGACAATTATCATAGGAAATCTCTGTATGAAAAAAAATACGTCTGATATTTGTCATGGCTGGGCAAAAGTCTGAGGTGTATATCAGGGTGTGCTTCTTCCCCACATGAGAGCTGGGATGTCCAGCAACATTCATCTAGAAGACATTTCCCGCACTCAAGGCACTAATACACCTCCAGGGTTGTGTGGGACCCCTGATGTACAGGAAGACAGGACTTCAGTGAGGAACATTTCCCTCACTCAGGACAGGAAAGTGGCTTCTCCCCCGTGTGAGATCTCTGATGTCTGTAAAGAATGGACTTCTGTGAAAAACATTTCCCGCACTCAGGACAGGAATATGGCTTCTCCCCTGTGAGATCTCTGATGTTGTAAAGATTGGACTTATCTGAAAAACATTTCCCGCACTCAGACAGGAATATGGCTTTTCCCCCGTGTGAGATCTCTTGTTGATGTTTGACAAGATTTGGTTTTTGTGCAAAAATTGGACATTTCCCCCGCACTCAGGACAGGAATATGGCTTCTCTCCCGTGTGTGAGATCTCTGATGTGTATAAAGACTGGACTTCTCTGAAAAACATTTCCCGCACTCAGGACAGGAATACGGCTTCTCCCCCGTGTGAGATCTCTGATGTGTGTAAAGATTGGACTTCACTGAAAAACATTTCCCACACTCAGGACAGGAATAAGGCTTTTCCCCCGTGTGAGATCTCTGATGTGTGTAAATGGACTTCTGAAAAACATTTCCCACACTCAGGACAAAATATTTCTCCCCCGTGTGAGATTCATGTGTGTAAAGAATTCTGTGAAAAAACAGCACTCAGGACAGGAATATGGCTTCTCCCCCGTGTGAGATCTCTGATGTCTGGAAAGATGAAGATTTGAATGAAAAACATTTCCCGCACTCAGAACAGGAATGGGCTTTTCCCCCGTGTGAGATTCTCTGATGTGTTAAAAATTGGACTTTCTGAAAAAAACATTTCCCACACTCAGGACAGGAATATGGCTTTTCTCCCCCGTGTGAGATCTCTGATGTGTGTAAAGATTCTGACTTCTGTGTGTAAAACATTTTCCCACACTCAGGACAGGAATATGGCTTCTCCCCCGTGTGAGATCTCTGATGTCTGTAAAGATAAGACTTGTTTGAAAAACATTTCCCGCACTCAGGACAGGAATACGGCTTCTCCCCCGTGTGAGATCTTTTATGCACATTAAGATTATGGATTTCCCGCACTAGAACTTCTCCCCCGGAAACTTTTATGCACCCTTCCCACACTCAGTACAGGAGAAGCTCTTCCCTGTTGGAAGGCCGGCCCGGTCCCGCACAGTCTGAGGTTCCTCAGGATACGAGGAATCCGATGGTCCATCTACACTGGGTGGTGCCGGATGGACATTGGAGGGAGCCGGGTTTTCTCCTGGACTATACTGTGTGATGTCCTCATCTTCTACTTTCCAGTCTGGAGACAAAGTGAGACAATCCTCGGAGGTTTTCCTCATCTCCCGGCCATGGACTAAAATACAAAGACAAAGAGGATTACTAGACAGGAGCTGATTGGTTCCCCCAAACCAGGACTCCGCCCACATCAGGCAGCTTGGTCTCTGAGGAGCTTACAATTCCACCCTCAAGGGAACTAGGAAATGGCTCCTCTGATCTCCTACCAGGTCATTTCTTTATTCATGGACCTTAGTCAGAGAGTGAGGAAACAACCAGAACTGTCTTTTATAGGAGGGACAGTGATGAGGGGATTATAGGACGAGGGTCCCCACCCCCTCTATCACTCATCGCCATCTTCCCAACACAAGAAGTACTGCACTTCCTTATTTAGTCCATGATTTAGTCATGAAGAACAGCGGGGCTGAGCCCCACCAGAGGTCAGAGAGTGAGGATGGGGGGGGTCAGAACAACCAAGATGAAGACTGGACTGATCCTGAAGACCACCATCATTGGGGTATTGACTCCTCCCTCATTATCACTTTCTGTTTAAGGGTCCAAAGTTGGAGGATGTTATCACATTATTATCATCACCATGTAAAAGTCTGTGCTCCAATCACATCATCCGATATAAAATGTCCAGCTAGGAAATGGGGGAACAAAAGAGTAAAAGTATATAGCAGTGGGGGGAGGGGGAATCAGGACATGCATGTATATATATAAAAATGTACAACTGGTAGGAGTAGTACAATGGGTCAGTAAAGTACCAAAGGACTATGTAATGTACAACATGTTATAGTGCAGGGGTCAGTAGTAATGTAAACATAGACAGACAGTCAGGAGAGAGTCAAACACAGATATTATAGTGCAGGGGTCAGGAACTCATAATCTGCCAATATAGTAACTCAGTGACTGGGTCTGAGACATATACAGACATATGGGAGGACCCGGCACAGCCAGCAGAAAACAGAGCAAGGAACCCTGGGAGAATGCCTGTTTAGAGATCAGGACTGCACTCAGTGACTTGGGTCTGAGACACCAAGAGTAGACCCGGCACCCAGCAGACCCAGAGCAGGTACCCTAGGTTGAGCAGAGCTATGAGATCTGCTGGAAATCAACATTTGACCTGCCAGCTGAACCCCAGAAAATCCCATAAAACCCCAGAACCTCCAGATCCAGTCTAGATACATAAATTGTGTCTGCAGCACAGAGAAGGAAGATTATCCGAGAGAAATCCAGGAATACAGGACGGGGAACACAGCTCAGGAAAGTGACCAGGGGATTACAGGCTGATATCACCCAGTCCCCGCCCTACTCTGGACCAATCAGTGAGCAGTATGGGTGGAGGAATGGATTTAGTGTTCATGACCCACCTGTGCTGATCTCTGTAGGAGTGTCCTCCTCTATAAATGTCCCCGTTATTCCATCCTCCTCCATAGACTGCTGATCATCCCTCACATACGCCTCTTCTTCTTCTGCTTTTCACCTCAACTTTATATCGATTGGATCTCCACTCAAGAAAATGAGAATCAAAAATAAATCTAAATATATAATAAAAAACACATAATGTACAAATCCACAATATCTATCCACAAGTCATTATCTAGATTCTTCCATCACCAACCTTGTAATGGTGAGGGATGGTGTGACCTTCCTGTGTGGAATCCCGGGAATACAGAGGACGGGGACATCTCTCTGGTGGGGTATTCCCATGACTGGATCCTTCTGAAAATCATATCCTTGTGTCCTTCTGAAAACTCCTACCATACTCCATCCATCCTGGTGAGGGATCTTTAACATCAATATTTGTCATCCCGAGAGGATTCCACTCTGAAAAAATAAAAAAACATCATTGTAACAAACATGCAGTGTGTAAATCCTACAACTACCAATAGTGATGTTCCATCATACCTGATGATGGTGAGGGATGGTGTGACCTTCCTGTGTGGAATCCCGGGAATACAGAGGACGGGGACATCTCTCTGGTGGGTTCCCATGACTGGATCCATCTGGAAACACACACACTGACTGAATCCATTGTTTCTATGTGTTTATCAGATGATGGGGGATCTAGGTGGATCCTCCGTACTGCTCTCTCCTTTACAATAAAGTCTCCTCTTACCCGGTGATGTGAGGGGCGGCTGATTGTCCATCATGACGTCCTTGTAGAGATCCTTGTGTCCTTCTAAATACTCCCACTCCTCTCCTCCATGGAGAAATAGACAGTGACACCCTGACACCTTATAGGAACCTGACACACACAATGATACAGTCACCATCCCAGACACATCCCTTGTCTGTTACTGGGAGAATGTCCCAGAATTCCCGGCACCGCTCACCTCTCCTCCTGTCAGCAGCTCCATCATCTTCTTGGTGACTTCTAGAATCTTCTGCATGTTGTGTCTCTCAGGGTTTAGGGAGTCACATGGAGGCACTGTGATGGTCATATGATCACCTGACTTCAGAAGAGGAAATCTCTGTATTGAGGAAGAATAGAATATCATGTTGACTCCAGAATCCTCCTCACCTCTCTCCGGTCAGGTCTGTGTTTTATTAATAGATAGATCAAAGTGATGTCATGTGACCTCCCAGAATCCTCCTCACCTCTCCGGTCAGGTCTGTGTTTTATTAATAGAGATGAGAGTGATGTCATGTGACCTCCCAGAATCCTCCTCACCTCTCCGGTCAGGTCTGTGTTTTATTAATAGAGATGATGAGTGATGTCATGTGACCTCCCAGAATCCTCCTCACCTCTCCGGTCAGGTCTGTGTTTTATTAATAGAGATGAGAGTGATGTGTCATGTGACCTCCCAGAATCCTCCTCACCTCTCCGGTCAGGTCTGTGTTTTATTAATAGAGATAGAGAGTGATGTCATGTGACCTCCCAGAATCCTCCTCACCTCTCCGGTCAGGTCTGTGTTTTATTAATAGAGATGAGAGAGTGATGTCATGTGACCTCCCAGAATCCTCCTCACCTCTCCGGTCAGGTCTGTGTTTTATTAATAGAGATAAGAGTGATGTCATGTGACCTCCCAGAATCCTCCTCACCTCTCCGGTCAGCAGGTAGATGATCTCCAGGGTGAGGTTTAGTATCTTCTCAGTCATGTGACTCCGGTCCTCCTCCATCCTCATTGGTGCCATCATGTGATCTATACAGGTCTCCTTGTAGACGGATAACTTTGGGAAATGAAAGTAAGAATGATTTTTGATGGTATTGGTCACACAATAATAGGATGTGTGATGTGTGAGGGGGGAATAGGAGGGTTGCTGGACATTGAGAGAACTACTCCCCCCATGGGAAGACATTTAGTTTGGACTGTTTAGTGTTACTACATTTTCAAGAACCCGGGACCCTCTTGTCCTGCCAGATCAGAAATCCCCTTTTCTCTGTTGGGTTTGTTTGGTCTCTGAACTGGTTTTGATGAGTATTAGATCTGCAGACAAGGAATGATAAATCTGATCCTTCCTATGACTTGTTTGCTCTGAGGCAGTGCTGTGAGGTCAATGTCGGATCATCATGAGTCACTTTACATCAGGAAGGGGAACTTGCTGGACTTTTGGCTGGAGTTGCCGGGCATAATCAGGATAATTGGCAGAACTCCGGCTGCAAGGCTCCAATCTCTGGCAGCCTGCTGACTGACAGGAGTGATGTCACTGTCACTCTCTGCACTAAGAGAAGGGATTGGTAGTTGGACAATGTTGGGGTGGAGTAGAGAGTTGTGGGGGAGGAGTCTGTTTCTCCTCCCTCCAATGGCAACCCAGGACCTGCAGACACTATGCAATTATGCCAGCCTGCAATGTACCATCTGTACAGAGGTGAAGGTGTTGTGTCTCTTGTTTGTCTTTGGGAAATGCAAAGTGAATTCTTGTACCCGATGGAATGTTATCGATTTTGATCAGATTTCCCGATATTGGGCCGGCAAATTAATGTATGGATGTTTTATGTTGGTTTACAATCGTTTACTTGGATACATTGGGATCTGTGAATCTTTTAGGTCCCTGGGAGTCTCAATTTTTTGCACCTGTCATTTTATGATGTGGTTTCATGCAAGGACTTTGTTCTCCAGGACTTCTGTAAAAATTCCTTTTTTATCCAAAGACATTGTACAGAGTTAGTGGATAAGTTCCTGGGGCTCTAAATTCCAGCATCGGCACCCAGAGCCTGTGTCATGAAAAGGTATTGGACTGCCTTCCCAATACATAGCACTGACAAGCTGAGCACCCTCTAGGTCAGTGGTTCTCAACCTGGAGGTGATCAAACAACCCTATCACAGGGGTCACCCCTAAGACCATCAGAGGAAAAAAACACATATTTCCGATGTGTAGGAGCAGCTACTGTGTGTGTCAGGGGTAGCAGCTGCTGTGATTGAACTGGCAGCTACTGTGTTAAAAAACAGCTACTAAATGGGAAAGCAGCAGTATTGGAGGTAAAACTTGACATGTTTCAATTATAATTAAGGGGTAAATAATTGGTTTTTTGGGGGTCACCACAACATGAGGAACTGTATTAAAGGGTACGGCATTAGGAAGGTTGAGAACCACTGCTCTAGGTGATGCTGTGCAATCAAGACCTCCTCTAAGAATGAAGAGTGCCCACCAAGGGGTGAAATACTGTCCTGACTTCATTCCACTTGGTATCTTGAAAAATTATATTTACCAGTGAGATGGTAAGAAGGTGAAGGTTGTCTTCCTTTCCTGGCAGGAGTTCTGTAAGGAGGTCTGAAAAAAAATGCAGGGACCCCCTCTCCATAGAGAC